AATTGCTGCTACAAATACAAGTAACCTCCTAAATCAGTCCCCAATCAGCACAAAGTTGATTATTTACAGTATCCGACCTATTAATAATGTACCTATGTAATTTGATACTAACTGCCTTTTTGATTGTATTTACAATGACATCAACCGGACGCGACAATCCTCTAAAGAATCTACGACTGCACTCCTCCCAGATGTAATAAGCGTACCCTGTCCAAGCTAGTTTCAGAATATGAACTAGCAGGGACTTGCCTTTCAAGTTTCTATTCAGCCAACACAGCCACTCGATCCAACTCATATACTGATGCTATAATCCACACAAATGCAGGATGGAACATATAACAATTTAACCAGGGAAAAAGAGTAATAATTTACAAAAGCAAATGTAAATACGTCAACTTCTTTTATATGTTGGGGGATTGCAAGAGCCGGTAATTCTACAAAGGAGAAAATATAAAAAAAAAACAGTATGTTTTGATAAACAATGAAACCCTAGTCACTTACACTAACATTATTAATCATTTAGTTACATGTAAAATTTTGTATGTTAAACTAACTTAATGGTGGTCTAATGATATTTTTGGATCTCAAACTTCACAAGAAAAAATAATTTATGTTTAAGTTTTTCGTCTATTTTAACCCTCAAATTTTTGTTTTTGACAAATCAAACCTATTATCGAAAAAAATAATGGACTTTTTAATAATTTTTATAATTTTGTTTTTTAATGTAAATATTGTTATATTTTTAATGAATTTTAAATATTTTTATTATTTTAAAATAATTTTCATTTTTTTTATTTTTAACGCTAAAGGAAAAATAACTAACATCAATGGTAAAACGATAAAGTAGTTGATGTCAACTTAATGAGGTTCTTACTTTTTTAACAGATGATTTATGTAATAATCTATTTTTGTTCTGTATATCTTTTTTTTCAAGGTCTAAATATTTTTATTGAAATTGATTTTGAAGTATAAAACATCGTATGACTTGAAATAAATTTTCATTATTTATTTAGGGTTATTTAGGATCTTTTATTAATGTATCTTTCATTAATAAAAATATATTATGATTTTCTTTTAGGGGTTTTTTTGGGCTTATAAATAGGCATTTTATAAAAAAAAACAATGAGAGCCCCAAAATATTGTAATTTAAGAATACAAACAATGAAAGAGATTTTTTCTTAAAAATAATTCTTTTATTTTATTTTTCTTATTTTTTACTTTTGTTCTTGTTATTTCAGTCGATTTTAACATTGTTCTTTAAAACTCTATCAACGGAGAAAAAAAATCAAGGAGCAAGGAAAGTATTTTCTAATAGATTTTCTTAATCTAACATTTCTCGAGATTTATCAAAGAGAACCAATAATATTTTTCTTTTAATTTTTATCTCCTTTTATTTCATCTTTTTATATTAAATATGTTTTTATTATTAATATTATTTGTATTACGCTTATACATATATCATCTTTACTAATTTAATTTTTATATATTTTTATATGTAAATATATATTTTATATTTATGGTATCATGTATATATATATTTTTTTTATTTATATGTATTTTTATTTGTCTTTTTTACTATTATTATCACCGTCATCTTTCCATATATACATTCTTTATATATTTATTAATTATTATTTTTCTAATATGTATAGCTTAGGATTCATTTACATTGTGTAAAAGTCTTTTAGTTTTACACCTTTTTAGGACCCGTGAATATAGAGAAATCAAAAAGTGAGATTAACTTCTTGTTTTTTCAACGAATATCTTCTTATTTTCTATTATCTCAACCTTTAATTTTTATCATATCTTAAGTTAAATTCACATATTAAATTAAATTATCATCTTAACATTAAAAATATATTTTATTCTTATTTTAACCAAAAAAATATTTTTTAACTTTTTATTATCTTAAAAAATAATTTATTCTTATCTTAACTTAAATATTTATATTCTATTATTATAATATTTTAAAATTAAAATAAAAATAAAAAATATTTTAAAATAAAAATAAAAATATACTTTTTTAAGTTAAAAATAAAAATAAAATATATATTATATGTTAAAATAAGGATAAATTATATTTAATAATTTAAGGTAAGACTGGAATATATTTAATAATTTAAGTTAAGAATATAATATATGTGATAAGTTAAAATAAAATTAAGATATATTTTTGGTAAATAAATTAAGATATATTTTTAAAAGTTAAGATAAAAATAAAATATATTTTTTAAGTTAAAGATAAAAATAAATTATATTTTTAAGTTAAAATAAGAATATATATTTAAGTTAAGACAATAATAAAATATGGTGATCATTTAAAATAAAAAATATTTTTACCGTTAATATGTGAATTTAAGTTAAAATATACTATATAAAATATTAAAAATTTAAGTTTAGACTAATATACAAAATATATATCATATGTAGTCTACCCAAAACAAAATAATATGCTTCGTTCACTGGTTGGAAGTTGTACTAACACTTATTAGACAGTTTTGATTCCCATACTTCCTTATTTTAGCACCTTTAATTTTTTTTTTCGCCAGATGACACGTGTCATCTTCTGATTGGTGAAAAATAAATATATTATATTAAAATAAATTAAATCCTCCAATAAGATGGCGACACATGTCATGATATTTGACACTAGTGACACATGACACGATTTGATTCCAAAGTTAAATTTATTAAAATTAGGATCAAATTGATAGAATATATAAGTAAAAGTGACCAAATGTATAATTATACCAAGTTTTTAACTGCCACGTCAGCTTCTCTATTAAATCTTAATGAAAAGTGACTTGATTGAATGTATTTAAATAGATGTATGACTTGATTAATACAATTTAAAAAATGATGGTTAAAATAAAAAGGGATAATAATTAGGGGGCAACGGTATAATTTATTCTCATTTTATTATCTTTGTTATTTATATCTTTTTCTATTTAATTTTTATATTTTTAGATTCACAATTTACATGTATTTTTTATTTGTTTATTTATTTATGCTTTTAAATTTCAATATTAATTTTCATATGACTATTTATACATGTCATGAATCTTTTGTTGTTTTTTATTTTGGTGTCCGTGACATTTTAATTGATTTTGCAGATTAACCCTAGCTTCGATTTACATCCTTTTTTTATGCTCATAGTTATGGCATTCGGCTCTATTTTTTTATTTATTTAATCTTTATGCATATTCTGACAGTTGCTTAATTTCGGCTTTTAATTTTGTGATTGTTCAGTTTAACCTTAAACTTGAATACTTGACTTTAACTAAACCCTTAGAATTTTATTTTTTATTTAAGTCTTCATTTAGATTAATTAAGAGTATTTTTTTAAAAATAATCTCTACTTGTGTTCGGGTTTTGTTTTAATTATTCGAATTTTTTTTTAAAATTAATTAAGATTAATAATAGAATCTTAGTTCTAAGTTAAGTTTTTTAATCCTTTAAAAATAAATTTAATAATTTATTTGATTGATTATATTGCGTGGATTTAAAAAATAATAATATAATGTTAATTTATTAGGAATTCATAATATAACCCTGCTTTGCCCGCGGGCTGTAGTGAATATATGAACCCCTAATAAATTAACATTGTTAATGGACCCCTAATTCATTGAACTCCTAATGAATTAAGATTGCCTTACTGTTTTTCATGGATTATTAGGGGTTTATTAATTCGTAATAAATAAATATTATTCTAATAATGGTTAATGAGTTGTTTTCATTCCTTGATGTTTTGGATTCAAACATCGTATATATAGTTTGTTATTTTGGTATTTAGAATTTGAATTTGTTTCATACATTCTTTTGATATTTTTTTTAAATTTATTAATTTATGTTTATATTAAGTTCTATATACTATTAGTAGATTTTATTTATAGTTAAAAAAAATAAACATTTCGTGAGCTTAACGAGCAACGAGGCGAGCAACAAAATTTCTTAAGGAGTATTAGCTGATGCAGGGGGATCCGAGATAGATGATGCTGAGCTGTCAGATTGCACATTGATGGCGCTGAGATACCATGAGTTGGCAGATCAGCGCAAAGGCGAGAGTTGAGTGTGATATGTTACTCATTGAGGCCGTTTTGAGTGTGTTTCAGTCTTTTGGCCATAACTTTGGCTACGGGTGTCGGAATCGCGCATAAGACCCCAATTCGAAAAGCCCCTTTCGACGCGCACGTTGTCCACATTTAGCATGGCTCCATGTGACCTTTTTTTCGACCTCAAATTCTGCCGTTTTCCCCTCCGAATCACTAGGTTTATTTATTTTTTTTATTATTTATGGTAATATTTCGCTTGTTAGTTAGGAAGTCATTTTAAATCCGATTTGGGCCAGATTTTTTTGCAGATTTCTTAATTTATTTCGAATTTCAATTTAGAGTGATTTCCGAGATTTTGCTATTTTTGGCAAAATTCGGATAAAGACGATTTTTGGCTATAACAGTCCGGCCGGCTTCACATTGTTTGATTTTATATTATTCTATTAAACCCTAAAGACTTTTTCTCTAGTTTTTTGGGCGAATTTTCTCCTCTAAATCATCTGTTGGAACTAGACTGTGAGATAATCGTTATTCTGTCCGGCGTCATTAGTCGAGTAAAATTTTAACAAACTTGACGAGTAACGAGTCGAATCGAGCAACAAATTTTTTTAATAAGCACTAGTCGAGTACTATCAACGATCGACTCACTCAATAAACACCCTTAATTAAGAAATTGCATGTCTAAAGCCGAAATATTTGGAGCTTATTTATGTTAAATCCAAGAAAACGTGCATCATTAATAATTTATATATGAAAAAGAAAACAGATTCAAATCCTAAAAGAAACTTCTTAATTGCATATTGCTACACTGTAAAACAATTTCAGACTAACATTCGATAAACACTTCAATTCGTTAATGCAATCTCTAAGTTCTCTCAAAACTCAATAGATTAATGAAATCTTCAAGATTTGATATGATCATTAGCATCTGTGAAAGTGGTCCACACAAAAAAAATTACAGAAGAAAACAAGTTATGGTCTAAGAAGAAGCGAATTTATTAGCCTTGAAGACTTATGTTAAATGAACTTTAATAAAGTCAATCTTAACTCCTTAACCAGATCCTTCATTGTCATGTTGAATCCATCATCTTTCTGCAAAAGAAGAAAATGGGTATCGACTTTCATTATTTGTTCAAATAATGAATTAAAAAGAACAGAACAAATAAATATAAGTTATTAGTTACCTGAGTAATTATGGTCATATCAAGAGTCGAGTTCCCAAAAGCCAAGATACTACTATTAACAATCGATAGATGAAGGTTCTCAATTTCGCATAATACTTGAGTCACCAACCCTTTCCCGTTCTGGCAATGAAATCGAATAAGAACATTATTATCGTAGACTTTAGCTTCAATCCCTGACAGTGCAGCGTCCGAATATTGTCCTTCATAGTTCTCTTCACATGAAGATGATTTATCTTGGGCTGATAAATGGGATTTCTTCACGAAAACTAAAGATTCCACACTTCTGTTCTTAGTATGCTCCTCCAGCACTTTTAAACGTTCTTGAAGCTGTTTCACGTACTTGATGGCTTCTCCAAGAACCGAAGCTTTATCCATCTATATTTTAAAAAAAATCATGTATTTTTTATCGAAGAATAATCACCAAAATGAAAGAAAAAAGATGTTACGAAGAAAGATTTGAACCTTCTTCAGACCAGGAACGATTGCGGAAAGAGCTATGAAATGCTGGCTAAGCTTCTCTCTTCTTTTTCTTTCGGCCAATATATGATCTTGAGCATGTGAAGGGCTTCTACTCATTGAGTAACTCCTTTCGATCGATTGGTTATTGTTTTTTGAAGCATAATTTGTCTTCTGAAATGGACCTTGTGCTATTATATGCGAAAAGTTCATATTTGCTGAAGATACAGTCTCGACTTTAGGCTTCAAAGCGTTGTAATTTGCCGGCGGTGAAGCTGGTTTCTCGAACGAAATACTCTGAGAAGTGGGAGAGGAAGGTTTCTTTGGAACCGGAACATGCTCGGTTGTGGTGCTCGAGTTCCAACTGCCGCTGATTTTGAGCTGTTTGGTCGGTCTGTACGAAGCTTCAATGGAGGATACGCTGCCGCTTTTGGTGTTGAAATTAGGGAAAGAAGAGTAGCTCTCGGAGGAAAATGATCGCTTCAAGTCCGCACCGAGAAGGACTGGCGCCGCCATATCTTCTCCGGTATTAAATTCAGCTAAAGAGTTGACATGACATTGGTGGATGAGGTCGTACTCGTCCATTCCCTGCAACATCAAAACCCTAAATTAGAAGACAGAGTAAAATCTATAACTATTAGATATACACATATAATTACATTATTGGGTCATATATGATTATAAACCGTACCAGTTCAGATAACCATCTTGCTGATGAAGAGTCCATCGTTGTAGCCTGAAAAGATAAAAAGAGTGTGTCATATATCTGAAACTAAAGCAAGAAAAAATTTGGAAAACAATAGTATCACTATTCACCTTTAAAAAATACTCCTATCTTTTTAGTGATACTAAAACTGCTGCAGTATTATGAGCTTTTCTTCTTTATCTTGCCATCTTATAGTAGGTGTGTGTTGCTCCATCAATTGTTGGATGTCTAACCCACGTTTGAGAAATTTGTCCTCGTCTTGGAATTAAACCATTATTTAATTCAGAAAGAGATTGTGGGTACTGGAATTAATAAAAATATCTCAACTTGGTCCACATTGCCAACCAGAACCCTATAGAAATTGAATAATTATTGAATTAGTCATTGCAATCCCTGTCAAGATATGTATTATTTTGGGTTTATCAATGATTATTTTGTTTAAACATTATTACAAGCCAACAAAACAGGGTCTTCACAAACATTAATGCTTTACCTGTTGCTCATCCATCTCATTAAATCCAATCGGTGGATGATCCGGTCCAGGGTGTGAATACCCAAATTTATTGTTTTTTTAGTTCATTTAAACACATGTCAAGTTTCTCAAGCAATAACAAATTCATTGGATTTTCAGAATACATGCATAATCCAATAGGGAGGGGGAACCCTTTTACACTAAATTCAGAATCAGCATTTCCCAAACACATTTTGAAAACTATTAAGAAATATTCAAATCCTACTTTTTGAGGCAAAAAGATTTAAATGTATCAATCACTGAAACCAGCACTCAAACGTAACATTATTTTTTGAATATTTAAAATTTAAATAAAAATTATATTTAATAATGATATATATCATTGATAAATCAAATATGCCATTTTAGTAATAAAAATAAATTAATAATATATAAAATTCATATACTTGTGTTCATCATATATATATATAATTTGAGACATATTTGAATAGGAGCTCAAAATACAATCATTAGGGAAACGATTTAATTAGTACTAAACGGGGATAAAGCAAAACCCTGGTAACTCAGTGAAGGTACATACTTATTGCTTTAAGAACAACTGTGATGCTTAAACAGCCCTTATCCTGATCAAGCATTGCGTATGGTGACTTTATTTCCGGGGAGCTTCTTTCAACGATGTTTTTTTTTTTTACACTTTCGCATCATTATATAATGTTTATATTTTTTTTCATGTTTTAGGTTGGTTTTAATTATTCTTCTTGTTTTGCATTAAAAATTACTATGGGTCTAATACAAAGTAATAACAAAAAAATGAAGTTGATAGACATTCCTCAAAAGTAGAAAGGATTGTATGGCTCTATAATTGGCAGGTCACTAGTTAAAGCTGAGAGAGGCAGTGAATCAACCTATAATACGAACAAGCTAGATCTTCATTAGGCGTGGCACTTGTGATTTAGAGACTGGAAAACAAGTTTTCCATCCCATAATCCGATGCACTTAAAATGATACGCGTCCATCTTCATTGATATCATGTAAACAAGTGCTTTTGACATTCGTTGCTGCCTTCACAGACTTTTAATGGCGCTGTATGCTGAGACATGAGTTTCATAGCATTCTGCATCCCATGAGAAGTCCTCCTTCATGGCCTTTGATATCTTTGTTTTCCATGTCGATGGGTTGTTCCTCTGCAGAAAGGATTTATACAACAGAGCTTGATTAAAGGAGATGCAAATCCTTCATCTGAAACTGAAAAAGTAGGGGAAATTTTCAACTGCGGAACACTCACAATTTCGTCGATGGCTTGGCTAAGGGACATAATTCCCAAGGTAGATCTCAAGAACTGCAAGAATCTACTGATCTCATGGTCATGATCTGCATAGTATCTTTTAAGACATCAAGTAAAATAAATGCCGTGTCATTCTCCATTTTGTTATTTATAAGAAGCATATAATTCTGTTAGAATCATTCAAGATCCGATTTACCTGAAGTTGTTATCACCAGAGGCTTCTAAAACGGGAGCAGCTCCATATCGTAAAGCCTTGAGCTACATTTTAAGGCCGAAGGAGAGTAAAATATACGTACAAGGATGTAGGTAGGGGTGTTACTTAAGAATAAAGATGCCTTTTCCAGAGGTCAAGCGTATATATATACACACATAAAGGTCCATCACACAGGTTGAGGTGATTGAAGCTAAGGATTGCTTGCAAAACAGACAAAGTTGTAATGATCCTCAAAACCCTTTTATCACATTCAGTTTACCTAACATGCCTCCTCGTTGGAGATTACAGTTTTCAGGAAGTAATAGTTCTTGCTTGAATATTTTGCATGTCTATCAAGACAACATAACCATGATTGTACGGAATTCCTTAAAAAATTATGTTAACAATGATCAGAAGTTAGTTTGAGGTAGCTTGGAATATGATCACATAAAAAATATTACTCCCCCCAGAAAAACCTGATCGGTTGACAATAGTTACCAGATATTTAGTTTAACTTACGGGAACTTGAAGTAGAGGATCGTGAAGAGAATGACATAATATAATGTCAGATCCTGCAAAAACCAAACGTAATAGTGGTTCACCGTAGTGGGTGAAGAATTTTACGTTGGGACCCTGGGAGGAAGGAGAACATCAAAATAGATTAGCATTAAGATAAAGAACAGGAGGGTAAGGAATGGGAGAAAAAAACCTCATCAAAAGTGACAAGGGACAAACTCCCCGAGTAAATTTGTTTCTTTAACATAAAAGCTCAAGTTCCAAAAACATTTAAGTAGTTCGTGAACTTGATAAAAAACTGTTCGGCGCCCTTGTAATATGAGTGGAAAATTTCTCGACGCATTAAGAGCTCCACTAGAGCTAGTTGCACTAGCATTTGGTGTCCTTCTGAACTACTACACTCCGACTCTGCATTTTTTTCAAGTTCAGTGTTTGACGCCTCTGTTATGTCCAACACATATCTGGACATAGATATGAAGATATGACCTTCCAAAAACCCTCCAATTACAAGAAAAAAATTTGAATATACATGTGTCGAACATATATCCGTATCAGACACTTACACCCGAGTCCAAGGGACAGTTTTTCTGTGCATTTTTTAAAAAATTAGAGTTGACACATGTTTTATATAGCAAGTATAAGGAACGAATGTACCTCTAGTGCTTCCTGAAGATATCTGAGTGCTCTATTTATAGTCGGCAATGAAGCATTCGCCAAGAAGACGAACTACAAAGGGTTGATAAACGATCAGATCGAGAGAAATCATCAAGCAGGAAAGAAACAACCCCTATGGCCATACCTACAGCTCGATATAGCTATAAACTAAATAAACAGTATTGTTTGCACTAACTCCAAAAGTACACTCATGAATTCTTTAAAGAAAAAATAAAAAAGGAATGAAAGACAAAGGATGCGATTACAATTGCTGATTTATAACAAAAATAATTGTCAGGGACCTTATAAACATCAACTAATTAGACTTTTTAACACTAAAACCTTGCATTTCTTTTGTTTCTTTTTAATGATCTCAGTTTCAGAGAGAAATATACACCTGTGCACCCCCACTGGTAGCATTCTGCACAGCTTCCTTCAGTTTCTCTAAATCAAAATCTGATACTTCTGAGATGATGCATCCAACCTCGAAAAAGATAAAAAGAATTAGCACCTTAGAACTATTCCAAGTCTGGTTAAATGTTACGGAAAATGAGAGAAGTGAAAGCATGAAAAAGAAGTTGCTGTAGAGACAATAAAATTATAAAAATATACCCTAACAGAAGAAACAAGTGACGATATGCCTGCCCGTTGGTGTAATACAACTTTGCATGCATCTTTTCCTCTCATGTTCTCTGCACTAAACTTTACTGGAAGAAGTATATCTGTGGCTGGATCCCAGGCGGAGTTATCGAAGCCATAAGGAGCGACAAGCAATTTATCCCTTTGGTAAAATACAAAAAGAGGAACAGAGATAAATGTATTGATATTTAAACACTTCTCAAGATGAAAGAAAGAAATTGCTACCCCATTCCACTGCAGGAGTAGAATGAGTTGTTCTTACTGGTGGAAGGCTAAGGTAGGTTCCAATTCATGGCTCATGTTGTGGATGATCCCTCCTTTAGAGTGCATAGATGACATAACTATAACTTTGTTTGAATACACTATCCCACCCTGCAAATGTTTTAGAAAGTGTACTCAATGGTGGATAAGATAGAATCCTAATAAACAGTGAATTATTCATTATAAATTTTTTGTGAATGTACAGGGGTATACATTGTATAGCATTTTGTTTGCTTCTTTTTGGATGAATGAAATTTACTTATCCAAAAAAAAAAAAATTGTGATATTTGAATTTTGGATATGAGGCTCATAGGTAGAGAACCAGTTCTATACTTTATGTGACATTCTGAAAAGAGGACCCAAAGACACCTTTAACCCTTTCTTGCAAACAAAGACAAGGGACTACTTAAAGAAAATATTTAACGGCTAGAAGTATAACCCTTCATTTCCGAAATTAAAAACACAAGTACACCCATTTACCTTCAAAATGTTCACAAGATGTGTCTTAGCCGTATCTTGCAAGCGGTCAGGATGATTAAGTCCACCAGGATCAAGTCCACATAGTGCTAGCTTATCCGGTTCAACCAGACACTGAAAAATTTTAGTATTTAAAAGCAGGTAAACTAAATTTGTATTTTGAGATATAAATTTTGCAAGACTACACGACCCAAAAGAAACTGTAAAACCAGAGAGGAAACAGAGAGAGAGATAGTAACTTGCCTGTGAATCAAAGCCTTGGCAAGTCAATAATATTCTTGTATTTCCTAGCCTCTGTCATATAATATCAAGAAAAAGAACAGGTAAGGATGATTTCCTCTTCCCCACAAGTTATAACTTCTATTGCTGCAAGTTCGAAACTATCAAGAGAAGCATGACATAAAGACAGAGCAACATGTAAACTGTCTCACATCATGCAAAACCAATCTTGGATTCAAGCAAATGACTTTTCAGATTCCCCCCCCCCCCATAAAAAAACCAAAAGGAAATAGTAGAGGGATATAGGTTTAGGCAACTAGAAGTTTCATGAAATGAATTGAAAACACGGATATGGTTACTCCAAAGGTTTCAATTAGTTTCAGCCTCCTCTTATGCCTTGAGTGTAGTCTCACCACGCTTCTCACAATGCTATCTTATAGGAAGAAGTTCAGGTTAATATGTTCAGTACCAATTGAACAACACATCTGTCTGAATTTGTTTTTCCTTTTTAACACCATAGATAATTCCCGCTTTCCTTGTTCACTAGCCCTCTTGATTAATCTACGCTTCGCTTATGTTGCACACCAGGTTCAAAATACTTAAAAGGAAAAGAACAAGTCTGCAATTAGGAGAAGATATAGGACCAAATCATCCACCCACTTCCTCGTTAAAACTGCCTCTACTGCTATCTTTTGTGAACTTTTTACTTCCGTATGTCTTGCAGAAGTTTTACATCAATATGACGAAAAGAAACAATGAGAAGATGTACCTGTTTAGCGAAAATATCCCAGAAAATATCCCAGAAAATAGGTGCAACGATAGCGGTCTCCCAATTATGTAAGTGTAACACATCAGGTTGCTTTCCGGATTTAGCTATATAATCCAATGAAGCACGAGAGAAATAGGAAAATCTGAATGCAAAGAATGGATAAACTGTCATGAAACAACCCAATAAATTGATATGAATGTATGATACAATAAGTTAAGAAGGAACATTCTGATGGAACTACTCAAAACAAATTCATACTAGAAGTGCAAAATAGTCCTGTGAATACGATTTAAAATGTTGATCAACTTATACATCAGCTACTCAGATTGGGAAATACCGACTTTTTTACTTGTCAATGGAAGTAATAAAATCTGAACTTTTTTGGGAAGCATGACATTTTATTGATCTAACATCTTCCATTTGAATAATTTCTTCAAAAAAAGCATACAGTTCTTTTTTAGATTGGAAGTTCAAAAACCTGTATTTTCTGCCACATCAACAAAGAAGACCAACAAATTACTATCTCCTTCAGCATGTCATATGAACTAGACTTGCTTTTTTTCATTTCTCTGGATCAACTCAACTATCAGATGGAGCAATATTGTTCACTTTTGTGAGAGGCAGATTAGGGTGATCTGAATACTGTCAAGTAAAAATATGATTTCAGCAGTAGCGTTATCATTCGATCTAAATTTTAAGGTTATCTGTGGAAAAAGTTATGCACAACCCGAAAGTGCATCTCATGCCATTGCCATTGCTTCCAGTACAATCCAGCTGGAACCAACTCATGCTACCTCTTAGAGCAGGTGCAACAAATACCAGCCTGTTCTCACCATGTATGCTTTAAAAGTTTCAGTAAGCATTTCACCTAAATTGCATGAAGATGTAATATCATTTCTCCCATCATCGTCACTCCATTACTATTCCTATATTTTTTTAATATTGAGTCATGAAAGTTCCTATGTCTGACTATCAGAACACTGATTGTAGTACACAGTTTTATCTGAGTTTAATTTATCTGTCTCCCAAAATGATAAGTAACTTAAGCACAAGAATAATTTCACTTGATCTCTACACACATAAAAGAAAGCAAAAGGTTAAACAGAATGGATGATAGGAAAAAAAAAGGTGTTGTAGGACAAGTAGGCATACCGTTCAAAGTCATCTGAATAGTCATATATCCTGTCCCGGTTGAAAAAAGATGAGTAATACAAAGGTTGAATAAAAGTAACTCCAATTCCATAGACAACCCTGGATAACAGATAGAAAAGTTGAGATCAAAATTTAAATCAATTAATAAATTAGACTGAAAAAAAACGTCTACCTCCTTTGCAGTTGAGACTAGCCAAAAGGAAAAGCAACCAGAAATTGACACTGCATTTTTTTTTTCCATTTTATCACTGGATCCTACCTTTAGCATAAAGAATATAACCAGACTCACCCGGTCCAGATTTTGTTTCCTTGCAGTTGTCCATTAAAGTAAGAGTAAGACTCTGCCACAACTTCTCGCAACCCCTGAACCTCATCTAGGTCAAGACTAGCATACCTAACCAAACAGCAATAGCCTTTGTGTCAACATATTATAAAACAGAATCATAACCCAATTTGTGGTTGGAAAGTTTTAAGCAGAAAAACAGTGTGACATATCAATACACATTCAAACTACTGGGGGAAGGAATAATATCAGACACGTGTGTGCTCTACATATATTAACAGGTAAAATAGTGTGTGTCTGTGTGCATGCACGCAGGAATAGTTTCTGTCTTATTTATGAGTAAACAGCATCATAGCTCAATTCATAAAATTAAACATTGAGGACAATCTGATTCCAAAGCAAGAAGAAAAGTTCTTCAAAGTTGAAAGCATCTCCTGAATAATTACCATCGAGATCTTTCTTTCAATTTCCCCTGGAATGTAACCCAAACAAATGGCATTCAGAAAATTCCTAAATTAACATGACAAAATCTGGTCTTGACAGATACATAAATTACAATGCAACTTCAGTGAATAACAGAGATGAGTTCCACTAATTACTTTGGCAAAATAACTTCCACCAAATGGCCCTTTTTTTGCAGCGCTCGAGATAAGCCAGTTATGTATGGTGCCAAGGGCCCGACTGAGATCAATGGTTCCATTTCAGTACATATGTGAATGATGTGAAAACCTTTCCTGTATTAATGTCAAATAAGATTTATTTAGAAGAGGAAAAGAAAAAATGACTTAAAAACAATTTAAAAAATGAAAAAGAAACAAATAAGATCAACAAATTAAATGCATAGATAACAGAAAAAAAAACAAAAAAAAAAAAGATTGGTGGCATTAGTTCACATCATACCTTCAATATTTACATAGCATTGCAGTACCTTGGATTTTCTATCAAAAGAACTATTTTTAATGTAGTTAGAGATATTAAACCAGAGAAATCAAATGAACCAATTAGTAATTCTAAGTTCCATAAAACAGAAAGAGAAAAAAGGTCCTGGACTTTTCCACTGACTGAAGCAGAGTATGGTTATAAAACTGCCAAGTATTTGTGTTCATGTCAAAGTGAATATATTGCGACTTCTACAGGCCAATTCTACCTTTTGCTTCCTCCCAAAGAAGTGGCGGAGTTCTGCAAGAAAGTCATCATCTCTTTGCTGCAGCGAGCCTGAGAATACATCTACAACACTGACTTTGCTATCTATGACCATCCTTCTCAAATCAGATGCCTCTTCAGTGCTAACTAATCCACAAAGGACCATTGAGTCTATCCGAAGTAACAGTTCCCAGCACAGAGCTAGATTATCTGGTCAAAACAGGGAATCTTAAAATCACGTTGCTGAACTTGAATAATAGTTAGCTTCTGCACAAGAATTCTTAAATTAACACACATTACTATTTACCTAGTATATAGAGATTCATTAAAATATTGATCAACAGAGAACATATCAACAGTTACCCCTCTCGAGTGAAACATGCATGCCTAATGCTCTTGCAGCCTCACTAACGGTGACAACTGGATAATAGTTTCACGAGAATGGCCCAAAAGAAACTGAAATTTAAGCCTCCTATAACTAACTGGAGGCAGTCCAAGTTAAAAGGCAATCTCAAGTATCATCATCGCCTTTTGAAACAACCAAGTTTGGACAGCTCAAACAGATATGAAATGTATGAGAGTAGCCCTACAAGAATATAGGACATAGAAGCAACAGCATTATCATTTTGGCAAATACCAAACACAGCTTGAAAGAATATATTTCTTGTTGAAGCATTAAATTGACAAGCAAGACATGCTCGAAATTTGTAGATTTTCAGTGAAATTACAGTAAACCATAATTAACTATTGCAAATACAATAAGCGGAGTTCAACATTCACCTTTCCTTCTGGATTCTTTCTCCAATTGCTTTATCTTGTCAATCAATAGCTGATTCACCCTGTATGCTTTTTTCCACTGAAATAAA